ACTGCACTTGCTTTTAAGTATGTGCAGAGACTTGCAGGTAGGCTCTCATGCCATCTGCAAGACCTTGCAGGACAGGCAGCCTTGACTCGATTGCATCAGCCACAGGACGGACAGAGTCCAAGAGAGGTTAGTTCACTCATCAGCCAAATGAATTCGCCAGATTGGATTCAACCTGAGACAACCCCAACTCCTGCCCTCCCACCCCACTGTGGTATAAAGGGCTTATTCCTCATGCAGCTCCTCTGTAGTAAACCACCTACTAGCTTGTGTATGCAGGAACCAAAGCCCCTCTCCTTGATGCCAGTCTGCATAGTGGATGGTGGCAGGGTGTAGAGCTTCCCCTTTGAAGGAGCAAGTCTCCCCAGAGGAGGAAAAGCCCAAGACAGGAGAGGCCCCAAGCCAGGGACAGCCCTGCTCAGAAGGCTGGCAGGCTTGTCCAGGGACCATTGGCCCCAAGCCTGGCCCTGGAGCATGTGCTCTCCAGCTGGTTATGCAATCCCACTATGAATAGGTCTTGGTGCATGGTTTGGGGCCAAAGAGCTCAGACTTGTTTCCTTTGGGGTGACGGCTCCCCTCTGGAATTCTGGGAGGTGAGGGAGCCCAGCTGTCAGGTCAGGCTCCTGACCCTAAGGCAGGGCAATCCAAGCTGGTGGCGTGAGGGGAGGAGCTGTTGGCCCAGACTGGTTGGTTAGGTTTGCAGGGTGACTCTCAGAGTGCAGAAATCACTTGAGCACTCAGATCTACGCCCCTTCCTGGCCATCACCGGATCAGCTGACCCCACCTCCTAAGGCTCCTCCTACCTCCGTCCTCATCCTCACCTCCTGGTCCAGCCCCTCACTTTGCCTTGGGTACAAATTTACAGTTTAGAAGGGGAGAAGGAAACACAGATTTGCTTTAAAAATATTAAAAATAAGAGGCTGTGGGGAAACAGGGATTCTCACACATTATATTAGTGGTGTAATACTGGAGGGCTGTGTAGTCAATCTCTACCAAAATTGTGAATATCTATATTTTTTGACCCAGCAATTTGGATGAAATAATGTATGTGTTAGGTTATTTGTTGCAGTTTGGTGGTGACAACCAATGCTTGGTAACAATCCAAAGTCCAGTGTTATCAATCAGAGACTCCTGGTTTAATCAATCATGATGCATTCATATAATGGAGTACAATATAGCCATAAAAAGTATGCAACAGCTCTTTATGTGCTACTGTAATTCCTCCATATGTGAGAAATTCATTCAAAAAGCAAGATGAGGGCTGGGCATGGTGATGCAAGCCTGTAATCCCGGCATTCCAGAGGCTGAGCAGGAGGATTGTTGTGAGTTTGAGGTCAGTCTGAGCTACACAATGAGTTCGAGGCCAGCTTGAACAGCATAGTGAAACCCTGTCTCAAAAACATGAAAAAGGGCAGGAACGTGGTAGTGTTTGCCTTGCACGCACAAGGCCCTGGATTCTATCTTCAGCTACACAAAAAGAAAAGTGAGATGGCCCAACAGTGTACTTCTTGTATAAACAAAAGGTTATACACAAGATCCTTTGGGGTGAGAGGAACTAGGAAAGAGGGTTCAAGAATGGGAGGAAGACATTCTTCATATCTGTTTGTTTTCTGGCTTGTAAACCATGCAGATGCATTCTTTTGCAAATAGTAACTTAAAATTATAGTGCAACCAAATGAAAATGATTTGAACAAAAAAATCCATTCCCCAGTTCCCCTCATACAATGGCCATTTGTCTTTTGGCCATGTTTTAGCATGAACACCACCTTTTTATTGGGGGGAGGGGAAGTTCTGCAGGAGCATCTTGGTGGAGGGAAGTCCTCCTCCCCGGCTGGATGGGACCACGATGCTGGTCCTTGCTCCTGCCAACAGGACTCAATTAGCAGATGGCTCAGATTTCCCTGACTTCTGTGGCAACAGCCAGGATCTAAGTCTTGGGGTAAGACTCATACTATACAAAACACAAGAATTATTCCTATTTTTATATTTTATTTTTATGTATTTATTTATTTTTTGGATATGGGATTAGAATTCAAGACCCCATTCTCACCAGGCAGGTGCTGTGTCACTGGGCTGTATCCCTGTATCTGTGTATTTTATTTTTAATACTTCTCCCCAGTCACTGTTTTACACTCATACAATACTACTTATATTCTGCACTTTATTTTTCTTGTATCAATATATAAGATCATAAAAACCATGAATAATTACATTTCATAGTACCTGATATAAGCATTCCCTATGTACATGCATAATCTTCATAATTATTACGTTAACTGATGCACAATAGTCCTTTGTTCGGATTAGGTACTCCTTAAACTGTCCTATGGCATTTAAGATGTTCACAGAGAGGTAAGGAGACCTCTCTGTGAAGACACAACAGAATTGCAATGACACTGTTCACTGATCCCTGATCCGGCAGGTTCCTCTGAGACAGTGTAGTTACCTTATCACCCCCACATCTGTTCCCCAATAGCCCTCTCCTACCTTAGGCCATGTTCCCTGCATCTCAGAAGAGGAGTCATCAAAGCCGGTCCACCTCCACTGTTTCCAAGCTGTATTTATCACTGTAAAAGGAATACACTTCCACTTTGCTAAGTTAAAATAGTACACAAGGTGAGGACTTGAGAGCCAAACTCTCGCCTCCCTCCCGCAGACTAACCCATCACCAAGCTTCGCCTGACCTCTGGCTCCCAGCCGCTCACCCTGGTTGGGAAGTCACTGATGTCAGCTGATCGCTCAGCCCTTGGAGCCGCCCCGAGGACTCAGGGGCTGTGGCAGCCCAGAGCAGGTCACTTGAGACCTGGAGCAGCTTCCTCGGCCTTTCCAGTGGGTCACATAAACATTATTTTCTGGTGGCCTGATGTGCGAGGTTCTAGATTTGCCACGCTTCTGTCTTCCTCAACACCTTTCTGGGTCCATCTCTCTGCCTCTTCTTCCTTTAGAAAAGGCCAGTTCAACTTCTCAAATGGTCCAGGCATCTTGGCCTGGAGTTTGCTGGCAGCCTTTTCTCGTCTGACTGCTCACCTGTCTTCTTTGAGATCTTTAAGCCCCAAACTGTTTCCCTACTTGTTTCTTGAGGCTATTTTCCCTGCCTCCTGCCTTTGCCTGGAGTTATCTGCCCCTTCTGAGAGCCTGACCCATTGAGGCATTTGGGCTCAAACGTCAGCCCCTCTGCTGGCCCAGCTCTGCGTCTCTCAGCGGCACACGCAGGTCGTGTCGATCTAGCTGTCCTGTGGGCCTGGACACCTTGGCCTGGTCCTGTTAGCCATCTTGCCATGGCAGGCTGGCACACAGGAGGTGCTGTGGGCAAATGGGAAGCTCACAGAGGAAACCTGGTGCCAACCCAAGAAAGGGCATGTGATTTCCCTTTACAAGCAGGAGTGGGGATGTTTGTGTTTCTACCAAGTCCTCAGAGAAGGGAGGCAAAATCTAACTGTCTGAGCCATTATTGTTAGACAGAACCATACAAGACCTTGGTCCAGCTTCACTGAGACGGACCTGTGAGCCGGTCAGTACCACTGCTCTAGTAGAGATGGCCAGAGCAGGAGCGGGCCCCCTTTCTGAGTGCCCCTCTCTCCACACACACCTCCAATACACCCCCACCCTGCTGCAGCCATTGCCCTCCCTGTGTCTCGCTGGAGCGGCCATGTGTAGGCCCTGGGGACCCTCACCTTCCCCGAACTGTGGCCCTTGCACTAAAGTCTTGGTGCAGGCGACTTGGCTGATGCATCCGAGAACACTGTGCGCTATCACATCATCTGCAAAATTAAGTTCCTCAAGGGTTTTAGGGATTAAATTTTCCTCTGTCAAAGTTGATGCGGAAGCTGGGACACTCTGCAAGGTCATTTGTGGAAGAGAGTAAATGGGCTGCTCGGAGGGAGAGCATAATCTCCTGGAGGGCAGGCTCGTCATGGTCCTCCTGGAGCTGGGACGGGGCCCGAGCGCTGCCACAGTGCAGGCTGATCTAATAACTGTGCATCACAAACTAGTTTTGCTTGCATTTTTACCTGGTGTTTCTTTGGAGGGGGTGCGGGGGGTGTTTTCTAGTGAGAATCTTGTGACAATTAGAATTAGCTGTCCCACCTTTAATCTTTTTCTTAAGAGATTACTGCTTTTTGAGAGATCATTACTTTTTGAAACGCAACTCCAAGTGAAATACCCTTCCCAGATGGTACTGGTATTTGAAGATAGTAAGGTTTTTATCTTTGCCATAATTAAAATGGTAGGAAAAAAACTGATGTAAGCAAGATCCTGTCACTGTGGACTTATCCCAAAGGGCCAACTTTAGTAACTTTCTCACCTCCTTGGTTTAAAGAAAGAACCCATCGTATTGCTTAAGGCCTTTAAGCTAAATTGGAGGGGGGTTCTGTAAGCTCAGTAATTTTTATAATGTATCTATTAAAGAAAGAAATACAATCCAGGCTACTAAGAATAGCTTTACAATAGGGTGGAGTTCATACTAATATAACTGAGGCGGCCCTAAATGTACACCCAGAGGAAATATTTATGTGGTTGCTGTAGAAGCCTGAAACTGTTTGTCTTTCGGTGTACGGATGGCTCTGTTGATGACTGATGTGCATTTGCTGTGGTCATGTGAGAAGGACCTAACTCTGGTCAAACCAGTCACAGGTTAGAGCCCTGGCACTCAGTGATGGCAGAGTCCAATTCCTGAACCCTGCATTTAACAGCTCCTTTGGGACCACATGACTCAGTACACACCACGAGTGGCTATCAGCCACGAGTGGCTATCAGCGAACACGAACAACTCCATAAATCTGCTTTTATTCAATTATCTGGTTGTCTATGGAGGTCAAAAGTGGGTTGGAGAAAAAGTTTAGTAGGTTCATTTAAGACCTCATGATGGTCTCTCAGTTCTGTGCATCCCCCAGGCTGTGAAGTAATCCCACAGAAAGCCCTTGAGATAAACCCAGGATGTTCCATTCCTATGGTTAAACAGAGGGGTGGAGGGGACAAAAAACCTTCTTGGAGTAAGACAAAAGTGTCATTGATGCTTTATTTACATGCGTCACCATCTTTTACAAACTAGATTACGGTTTTAAATGGAATACACAGGCAATATCTACAAACACCAAGGAAAGTAAGTACTGCATCTTCATTCCATTTGGAAAGGGGAAGATTCCCAAACTGGTTTTGATCCTTAAGAAGAAACGTGGCAGAGTTAATTCATGTCAACATATGATTAGGCAAACTCCAAGATAAGAATGCAAGATGATAGTGTTCGCTTCAAAAGAAAGGATGAGGTGCGTCAAACCAAAGGGTGAACCGCTGGACTCTTAGGTGTTTGAATATGGCCATGCACCATATTTAATTCTAGTTTGTACGGGTTGTGAGCAAGAAATTGAAACAGATAATACAGTTTTACAGATACTGTATACAGGTATTTTTCCATTCATGCAACTTTTTTTCTTAAAAAAAAGTTAAACATGTGAAGCCAAAATGCACAATACAATTTTCTTAGTACTCACTAATTTTTCTGGTCCTTTTCCCATCTGTTTACATTTCCCACGTATGTAAGTGCTGGGACACGTATACAAGAGAAGGCTGATTGCCAGGCAATGAGATAATTTTACAGAAATAAGTGACGAGACACACAGTTTTTTAAAAGCAGTTGCACAAGTATTTCTGGAGTGTGGCAGAGGCCTCTTAATCATTCTTCAAAGGAAAACACATACAAATAAACATAGAGAGAGGAAAATATTCATTCGACCTGCATAAAATGTTACCTACTTCAGATTTAGATCAAATGTGACGCTCTCTGTAGCTGCTTGGGCTGCTGCTTCCGGATCTTGCTTGACGGGCAAGAACTGATTCCCATGCCCTGCCTCCACCAGGCTCTCGGTGGGGCTGGCTCTTTGTACCTCTTTAGTAGTGATTGTGTTTCTACAAAAAGTTTTGCTTCTCTTTAATTAAGAAAACATTATGCTGAATCATACGATGTTATCCAAATACACAAAGAAAAAGAAAAATCAGAGTTCAGAGCTGTCAAGGATTTCCTTTTTGCTTTGAGGGAGAAAAGGTGCCACTTCGATTTCTCCCATCAGCCCTTGGCACCAATAAGTGCATCGTAGTACTTGGTTTTTTTAAAAACTACTTTAATCCTGATGGACTTTTCCAAGTGATTCAAATGTTCCTTTTAAGTGGATTATAAGTTCATTACACAGAGGCAAAGTCTGTCCCTATAATCCTTAAACTGTGTACAAGTTTAGAAGCCACCCGAAGTCACACCCTGAGATAGGGCACACCTGTCCCGAGTAGTGAGCCACGATGTCCTCTCAAGGTGAGGGAGTGACACACAGGATGCTAAAAACACCAAAAATGAAGCACACCTTACATGTGTGTGATGATGCTCTCACGAGTCAGACTTCTGAAAACAATTTTTAAAAATGTATTCAGCATTCAGAATGTTGCCGAGGATGCAACAGAAGAAACCAGACGTGTTCACAGTTAATGGTGGGCACTGAACCCACGGGCCGTCCTCCTGCCAAGGCAGGGAAAGCTTGGGATAAAGCTCTCTTCTAGCTTTGGTACAGATACCAGGCTCTGGAGCCCGCACAGGGAGAGCCTCAGAGTGCATGTCCCATGTTCAGTGCTAGGTCTCTGCTTCCTGATTTCCACCACAAGCGGGTAGCTGGCTAACAGGGGAAGGCAGCGCCCATGGCTCTCATCAGGACTCCAACATTACTGCTGATGGCCCAAGGCTGCTAAGGAATCCACTGAGATGCTCCAGATCAGAACATCTATGATGAGGGACACAAGGCTTTCAGGGGGCAATCGAGGACCCACCAGCTGACCTATCCGGAAATAAAGAACAGAGGCCTCAGGCTGCGTTCTGCCCAGTCCGATGCCTTAGAACCCAGCCTGTCCCGGGGAGGCTGGCCTCGCTAGAGGAAGGCAGCTGGCGGGGAGGGAGGCTGTGGGATGCCAGACCGGCCCTGCTCTCTGATTCTTGTTCCGCCTTCCCCCAGGCTCTCTGTAAGATGTTGCACTCATTGTGGCCCTGGGTTAGAGCTCCACAACACCGCATATGTGGATGCTGTCTGAATTATTTTAAAAAGAAAAAAAAATCAGAGCACACCTCTTCCACTTTCTCAGTCTATTCTGTGGCTGCCCTGTCCTCTTCCAGCCGTTTCAGATTAAATTATAACACAATTCTAGGCCACTTTGTAAGACACTATCCCTGAAACCCAATAAACACTGGAAAAGAAGAAAATAAAGGACATTCATGTTTCTGAAAGAAAGTCAACATTTTAAAGCTGGAACGCATTGGAAAGCTGCCTTTTTTGCTCCCACAGCAGCTCTGGCCACAATTTATAAAACTGCATAGACAAGTAGCTAGTTTGAACTCAGGAGAGCAGCTCAGGGCCGATGGATTCTCCCTGCCTCTGACAACTTCCCACCCCTCCACTCCTGTTCCCCCGAGCTGCTGTCACCCACGTAGCATCACTCAGGAAGCCAGAGAGGTGGCCTCTTTGCTGATTTTGGACTGTTCTTGAATATAACTGAAGAATCAAAGTGGCTAGCATTATTATAAAGGAATACAGTAAGCAAGTCTGGCTCACTGACAACCAGACTAGGTGAATACATATTTTAAAAAATCATACACCTTTAAAATGAAGATTATAAATGTGTAGCAGTTTAGAAAAGGTGATATGCTATAGGTCTACGATAATCACAACTGCACAATTTACAGATTCAGTAAGAGGCAGGGTGAAATCAACAAGGCCATCGCTCGAATATGACAATCCAAGCGAGGCAAGAGATGTCTGACAATACCAAATGGAACGCATTATGCTAGGAGCTGTGATCACCACCAGTCTCATCCCCGAAGTAGTTATAAAGCACAGATGACCAGGGGGTCCCTGGTGGCCGGTTGGGGTACAGGGGTCAGGTGGCACGACTGGGTTGGTGTCCGCAGCCACAGCACAAGCATCGGCCGGATCAAGCAGGGAAGTCTGTCCGAGCACTAGACTCTATTCCTCATACCCACGCACAAGGTTCCACTTAAGTACTGCACATGACAAAATATACATTTATATGCTTAATGCTTTTTTATGCAAAGAAAATAGTCTTCATATATCACTTTGGAGACATGTATTTGCTGTGCTAATTAGGGCCGTATTACACCAGTTTTGTATGTACCAAAGATGTTCCCCACTATTCTGTCTACTAAAGATGGTAACAAACATAATCACACTTCCCAAGTAAAACAGAAAGCACCTATACAGCACCATAACTTTTTCAAAACAAAATGAAATCCGTAGAAGCAGAAGTTTAAAAAAAAGAAGGAAAAATAAAAGTTAAAACTGCCTTATCTTATTCTTCCACTGTGTCACTTGTACAGTTATAAGCTGGGTTTATACAAAAAGTCAGTTTGTATGCTACTGCCTTCCACTCGTGTACTCTAGAAGGTCAGATTATACACAGCAGGCTGAAAATAATCGAGGGTGTGCATTTCCAAACAGTGAAGTTAGACCTGCCCAGCATCTTGATGTGTCCTTTACACACGTCTCACTGCAAGCTTAACACTCACTTGGAAGTTCTTCTGCAGAGCAAACCAGGACACCTTTGTGTTCCTCCTTAAAAATACATCCCTTAGTGGCATTTGGCAATTGAAAGGACAGCTGAGCTGGCTTCTTTCCTGAAAAGACCCTAGTTTCTACCCAACAGGCCCACTGTCCACCATGCAGAAGCCCACAGCCCTGCCGACCCGGCCGCCACTGTGCAGGCGCTGAGGGGCTCAGCCTCGCACCGCCCCGGCTCGGAACCGCAAGCGCTCGGACTGGGCCGGTGCCTCGTGCTCCTCCTGTCACCTGGGTGTGGTTCAGGCCTGGACGGTGCGCACTGCAAACAATTGTGCCATTGCTCAGTTTTTAAAAAAGGATAATTTTCTACCAAACAAAAGAAAGAGAATCCCCCTATAGTTTATGTAATATGTTAGGTATGGAGCCCCACGGGCTCAAAAGTTTGTGATGCCCACAGCCAGAATGGTAACTGGTACAATATTTTTCTTCTGTTTTCAAATCAGCCAGGGAAAGGATGGTTAACATTTTAACAGAAAAGTACTGCAAGTTAATGCGTGTGAAAAACTCAGAAAGTCAAAGGAAAACAAACAGAAAAACAACATTTAAAACATCCCACAAACCATCGCGATATTAAAACACCACAGAATCGGCAACAGGGGGCTCCTGGTGTGCTCTGAATGAGTAGGTGGTGCTGTCGGGGTGCTGTCCTCCATGGCAGGTGGCTCACCACTCCAGACAAGGAAGATTTTGCATACTTCGTAAAGTTCTGTTCCGAGGGTAAGTGCTTCACCCAGGGCAAGGGGCCATTAACAGTCTCTGCTGGGCTAGGAAAATGGCGCAGGGTTCACAAGGTGTTAAGCTGTAAACGCTGTCACTGTCCACTTGCTGAGAGCAGATTTGGCAAAGGGTTTTCTCTGTAGGTCTTGTGTCAGTTTGAGGGTCTATGGAAGGAGAAAAGACAGCAGGAGATGATTAAGGGCTTCAAAGAGCAACAGGGCACCTGGGGGCAAGCGGTGTTGGCCTCCTGGCTCCTCACCCCACCTTGCAGCCCAAGAACATGCAGTCGGGGTGGTTTGCTGCAGCATTTGAAAGGCCTCCAAGCTAAGGACAAGGAACAAGTATTATTTACCTTATTTCTTATTGTGTCATTATTACAGAATGCTCTAAAGTTGAAAGGGCCAAAGAAATGGGGTCATTCACTTCAGGAAGTTAACGGAGTGTTTTAGAGGGTCCTATGAAGGGTAGGGACCCAGGGTGCACATAGGGTTTGTTTTGGACAGAGGGGTTTGCTAGGACATGGGCCTTTCATGCTAAAATCGGAGAAAAAGTTACTCTTCGTTGGCTTTTTCCCACTGGCCAGGCAGAGTAACCAAACTTGCTTGTACCTGGACACAGGGAAGAAGACGTGGTCCCTCTCCACAAAAGCTTGGTGGGTCTGCAGGTGTAACCTTGACTTCCACACCACAAGAGAAACAAGGCATCTCTAAGTGGGCTCTCTTAGCAATGTGATTGTTATATCAAAATCTTCAGAGAAAACCATTACATAACACACTCAGAGGCGAATCTCCTAAAACATCTTGTTATTAACTAACATTTATGTTTCTTCATCAGTCTTTGATGGGAAGGCACAGCAGATGGCCAGAGCATCACACTGAGATCAGTCTTTTTGGATTGCATGTGGCCACTGAACCCAGAAAAGAGGATTCATAAAAAAGTATACACTCAGAGATGCAGCTACAGTAACTGATGAGAGAGGCCTCCAGCCGCAAGATCTTTGGTTCATGGTGTCAGCTGTCAGGGTTGTTAAAAAAAAAATGGCTCTTGGCCAAGACATGGATAGGCAAGTGGCAGCCAGCACCAAGAGCTCAAGATCGTCTCACCGAACGGCCCACAGGATGAAAAATACACCAATAAGCTCTCACACACACACACAGGATGCGTTACACACCTCTGCCTCCTGCCCCGCTAGAGGAGATACCATATGCACGTTCATTTCACCTGGAATTTCTACACGTGCCCTTGGGGACTGTCTCCTCCATGACTCCGTCTTTGCTGAGAATCTTACCGTTTGCTACTGACATTTGCCGTGACAGCAGGACTCAGTGTGCAGAGTATCACAGGTCCACAGGCCTATTTTCCTTTGCTACGGCTCTGAGGAGCAGTGAGCTTGTTTTTTGGAGGCAGAGAGAATCACACAGGGGAAAAACAAAAAGGCCTCTCTTCCCGTTAAGTTTTTGTGTTTAGTTCCCTCGCTGGGCTTTTTGGAGGTACTCTCTGCTTTGAAAGTGACTAGAAAATATTATCTTGGACCATAAAATAATGGCTTATTAATTTCAGAGGGATAAAAAGCTCAAATAAATCCCAGATCCGTCTGTGAGGAATGCGGCCTGCTAGAGCTGATGCTATTGTAAGCACTTCACCAGGGCCCTGAAGCGTTACGGACAGGGGCTCCCAGACACAGTGCCATAAAGGGAATTCTTTTTTCCTTCACAATAACACTTAATAAATCACAATCTAACATCACTATGCAATTAGTCATCAGGGAACGATCGTCCCCAACTCCCGGTCCTGACTTTCGGTGAGTGTCAAGGGAAAAGTGGTAACGTATTACCTAACCCAGACCACCTCCCTGGCTCCCTTTGGTGTTAATTATTCTGCCGTGGAAACCAGCGCAGACTGGGAGGGTGACATACTTCATTCCCCCAAGTACAGGGGTAAAGCATGCAGTTCCTCTGCAGTGGCCGCTGGTCCAGCACGGCAGAGACAGGGATGGAGGACATTTAGGCACCCATGGCATCATTCCGGGCATAACAGACATCAGCCCTAAAATATGGGGCAGCGGGCCGACCTGGGCATAACAGCCCCAGGCCACGTACTCACCCCTCCGCAAAAGGCCCAGAATCACCTGAGAGCATCATCATTAGGGAGATACACTAACATCCCTCTTCCCGTTCTGCACAGCGGAGTAGGACCAGCTGTGATACTGCATCCTGCAGCTTCCTCCTTCCAAGGTCTCGGGCAGTGCCCTCCTAAAGAGGTCTGCTCAGGAAGCCACCGCTGTGCCCAGAGGCAGAGCCAGAGGCACCAGGTCTAGATACAGCTGCAGTCCGACAGAGGATGCATTTAATAGAGAAACTCTCACTCCACACAACTGAAAGACACTAGTGATGTGTGTAAGAAAAACAGATATAAAAAACTATAAAAGTATTTACAAAAAACAGACACATGTTGAATATAACCATCCTTGTAAGAACACCGGACTACCAGTTATGATAAAGACCAGGATAAGAAAAACAATTCTATGCAAAGTAGCGATTGCTCTGCCTTTGATTCTGAAGGTTCTTGTGCAGTTCACAGTCTGCATGTTTATCTGACTCAGTCGAAGACTAACAGCCTGGCGTGCGTGTTCAGTGACAAAACCGGCTCCAGAGCTGGGAATTAGCTGATCCTTAGCTTGGGTATGATAACGGGCTTCAAGGAAGCTCATGCCATTCTCACAGGGATTCAAGACTGGCCCTGCAGCTCACTGTGAGGCTCCTGTGTGTCGACACCCTGCTAGCTTAAAAAATCGTGTTAGGCAAAACCTTTGGAAAGAAAAGGAAGCAGATAAAGCTAATAGAATTACAGCGGTTACGCCACAGTTAGTAGGCAGTGTAGCAATTAACAATAGACACGAAAATGTCCATCTCATCTGTGACTTTCATTAAGAAGTTTGAAATCAGATTGTTGATGGAAGAAAAATAAAACGCAGAGCCCAAATGAATGGTGAGACCCATTCTAAAAATATCCACGGATGCTGTCATCCGGTCTCTGCTGAGCGTCAGTCCCTCTGTAACAGTGGCATCTGCGGAGAAGTAAGCTTCTGCTAATTACCACCATTAAGTCACATGATGCTCTAAGCAAGGAAAATGCCTCCAAAACCACACCAAACAAGCTCCAACAACTTGAATTTGGAAATGGAACATGACAATTCCTACTGCCTTCCCCCCTCAACTGAAGTCCACGGGGCACAGTGTGCATCTGTCAGTTGGGTGTTTATCTTGGTAAAGAAGGAAGCAACAAGGACCCCAGTACTACACATGACATGGAAGGGAAAGAGATAAGAAAATGAAGCCTCACATGCACAAGTCCACCCTGGGCCGAGTTAGAACTACACGGCTGAAGCAAAGTCTGCCAAAAAAAAAAAAAAAATCAAAATTAAAATTACTCTTTAAAAATAAGGACAATTTAAGCAAAACTTGCAACTTCTGGAGACAGCTGGGGACTAAACATGGAGCGCTGGGGACAGAGCAGAGTCTGTGGGGTACACTCCTGTAGGGTTGAGGCCCAGTGTGGGGTTCAGAGCTTCAATGTTTTCAGTCCAGTACAGACACAGCAGGCACCTCTGCCCGCCTGCCACCACCTCTGCTCCACTCCCAAAAGGACCAAGCAGCCCACCATGAGCCACCATCACCTGCTGCCACCCTTGAGGGCTGGTGTCGCCTTAGAAAAACCTTTTAGCAGGTCTTCAGGCAATCACATCTTAAGTCTGAAACTCCAACACGGTAGCAGTTTGCACACAGCTCAGGATTCTGCTAACACGCTGGCCTGGGCATCTTTCACCATCTTCCAATGGCATTCATGAAAACCAGCGGGGTCACCCGTGACGAAGGGGGCCTGGCTGATGCAGATCTTCCCCCAGCATGCAAGAGGACAGAACCCAGCACTTGCAGCTCTACAAAAATCCATTCTGGTAAATGTCACCAACTTGCCACTTGAGGCACCGAACAGTGAGAGGGAAAGGGAGCAGACAGGGATGTTTCAGCCAGCCTGAAGGCCAGGTTTGTGTTAAGAAGCCTCTGCAAAGGCAAGTGAAATTTCCAGAAACCTGGCTCCCTGGCTCTGCTACTTTCTAATAGGCAAGTAAATACTTAATGTAGAAGGTGAGGACGGAACAGGGAAGCCAGACTGAGAGGCTTTCAGAGCAAAGGCACACTTGGAACAAAGGCATTCAATTACACCACATGACTTAAAAAATTGGGTTTAGAAGCTTTGCCTGGGTAAAATGCACAGCCTGACTTGGGGAACTAGGCTGCCTCCCGAGAATGACTGGACCTTTTCAGGGCAGCAGAGAAAGCCTGCCTGGGCCTAGTGTGCCCAGCCCTCTTTTTTTTTTTGGTGTTTTTCCTTTTTATCGGTACCGGGATCGAACTCACGACTGCCTACTTGCAAGGCAGACGCTTATATCGCTGAGCTAAATCCCCAGCCCCCATGCCCAGCCCTTTTGGGCCAGCCTTTGTGCTGCACTGTCAAGACATGAGGAGATCAAGGGACCCTCACGACCCTTCAGGGCACAGGCGCAGGGAGCCATGCAGAGGTGCTGGCTTTTCTGCTGCTTGAACTCTAGGGTTATGGACGGCTACAGAAGTGTAACATGAGTGGCCTTTACACAGGGGCAGGAATCGTATCAACCAGCATTCCTCACAGAGACTGACAAGGCAGAAATGTAACAGGTGTGGATTTGCTATTGACAGTCAAGTCACAGATTCCGTATTTCCTTAAGTGTCTCAGATTTTTCAAACTACATAGAATATATAAAGTTTGGGATTATAGGTATCTTGGAGAACTGTTTTTAAGGCAAAAAGTCTGTGGGCCATTTGGATCCTCTCTAGTTAATGAACCTTAATTATAGTATTAAAAAAAAAAAAAAACCCTGGGAACTTAACTGAGAAAGACCCGTAGGATAATTTATTTATTTATTTTTTTGACAGGTTCTCACTATGTGGCCCGGGCTGGCCTCAAACTCATGGTTATCCTCCTGCCTCAGCCTCCCGAGGGCGGGACTCCAGGTGTGGGCTACCATGCCTGCCTGGATCACTGTGCTTGTGCACACTTTACAGAGCTCTGCAGAGCACTAAGCTGTAACCCCACATTCCACATTTTGTGTCCGGGTACTACTGAG